TCTGGGAGTTGAAGTCCACTCATCTTAAAGTGGCCAAGTTTGGACAACACTGGTCTAAACCATTTAAGCCACACAGTCTACAGCCTCACATCATATTTATCATACTCTGGAATCTCATACATGTTCCTTGATCAGTTAGTCCTGTTTTTATTATCCCCCTAGAATGTGGACATATAAAAAATGGGCAAGGAAGGTATTTTTCATTTGTCCCTATTAGCTCAGGATAGAGTGCAGCAAGAGGAAAAATATGAGACCAAGTCAGGGAAGCTTACTATACAGATGTGCACAGACCAGCGTTGCCGTTCCTCTAATTCACTCATGTCAGTTGCATTTGTTCCTAGACTGGGAGGCACTGCTCATGGTCAGTCAGGCCTTCATCACCTCCAGTTTGGATTGCTGTAATAGACTCTACATGGGGTCGTCCTTGAAGAGCATTGGGAAGCTGCAGCTGGTCCAAAATGCAGTGGCACTCCACGGTACACTCATGTACCACTGCACTCTGTTGGCTCCCAGTAGACCTCTGGGTGCAATTCAAGGTGTTGGTTGTCACATTGAAAGCCCTACATGGCATGGGGACAGGTTACTTGTGAGACCGCCTCTCCCCAGTGGTTTCTGCCCATTCCACCAGATCTGGCAGAGTAGGCGTGCACGTGGCCCCATCAGTGAAGCAGTGTCACTTGTGGGATCCTAGAAAGCCTGTCTTCTCTTTCATGGTGTCTGTCTTGTGGAACAGCCTCTTCCCCCAAGATACAGACAGTCAAAGCTCCGATCCTGCTGATCTTCTGGAAAACCTGGTTATTCGGTCAGGCACTGGGGCCAGGGTGCTAATAGAGCTCTGATGTGGGTGCAGGTGTATTGTTATGTTTCTAATAAGATTTTTTAGGGGCCTCAACTTGGTTTCTTTTATCTAATGGTCTGTGATTTTGTTTTGTTTTTACTGTATTTGTTCACCACCCAAGTGCCTTTGTTAGGTTCCAACTCAGTTATATACATAGCTGATTAATTTTTGTTTGATAGATACATAAAAAGCAGAGGATTATACTACACCAGCAAGCAGTAAATGTGCAGTCAGACTGTTAACTAGATGTTTCCCTGATGACTTGCAGTATCTGTAGCAAAAACTCTAAATAGATTAAATGCTTTCAAATGTCTCCCACAAACCAAGCCATATAGCTACAACTCTAGACCATTACAAAACAAGCTAATACAGTTCAGACTACAATTATTTTATAACTATAGTGGATGCAATTTTGTTCGCCCTTTTCTCATTGTTATTTTGAAAGGCATCATTTCAATAGCCCAGCTGTCATTTGATAGATGAAGATAAGTCTGGAGCAAGAAGAGCAGCTGTGAAAAACAGGACTTGCCTTAGACAGCTTAAATATTTGGGTTCAGATCAGCAAGCATTGTGTGCAATGATAAATATTTTAAAAGTTTCCTCCAGTTAAATGGGAGTGTAAGTGGTCCTTGATAAGAAGTGCAGTGATGATTTACAGGCAGTAATAACCACTGCAGGCCAAATGCTCATCATCTGTGAAATAAATTATAATCTTGTGAGATAGCAGAGCTATAAATTCTTGCCTCCATAAAATCCCATCTATTTCCCAGGGGAATTCAAAGGGAGAAAATATTTGACCTGTTCTTCAGGGACAACTTTCAGCACCAGTGGGACTGAACTGAAAGTATATGAATATCAGTGCAGTTCACAACCATTTCTTTTTTTTCTCAATTTGTTTAGTGGCAATGGATTATATTTTGTAGCTTCTTTCGCCATACACAGTCCTGGTCCTATGTATATTTAACCTTTTCCTTATTCAGGTTTTCAGCAAAAAGATGACCAAAATTAAACAGAAGAACAAAACTATATAAACTTAAATGCAACAACCAAGTAATCAGGCTGCGTCCTTGGATAAAGATAACACACCACATTTTAAATTCAGAGACCAAGGGGGAAGTCTGAGAGAAGAGGAAAAGGGCCACTGAAAATGTAACATGTATTTTCAGTCAAAGGACCTGGTAAGAATTGCTCTTCTACAATCATTAGTGTAAGGCAATATAGTTAAAAGATTGGACCAAGAAGACAATTAATAGACTTATGCTCATAGTAGGTGACGGAGTGGCCATGTGCAGATGTGTTCTTGGCAGTTCCTCTGCTCTGCCTTCAGAAAAAACTGTTGTGGAATACTGGAGCATCCTGGGAGATGATGAAGGGGAAACCAAGAGAGGTGATTTCTCTGCTGCTTTCCACAGTGAAGAGACTCCATTGCATTCCATTCCTCAGCTTGCAGTATGATCAGTCTGGATCACATCCATAATGCTGGGAAGGTTCTGCTTTCCCAGTGTGGAATTTGTAAGTGCAAAGAGTAAGAACTATGCTTCCTGAAAAGAGGGGCAAACACATTGCACTTCTCTACCCTAAATGTGAGGTAATGATGATCCACAATTGTCTTCACTTATGATTACTAGACATGCAGAGAACAATTAATGAAAATCATGCCCTGGGGTCCCCCAGGTCTTGCAGCAATGAAAATCCCTGCACCTACTTTGCACAGAAGAAAAAAAACAGTTATCTTTGTCTTATTTTTTTTTAATTTATCCAAGTTTATTATGCATGTTCTGTTCAGAGCTTCAGAAGAATATATATGGCTAGGAGAGGGTTACCACAATGTGGCTTAGATACACCTGTAAATATGGAGTAAGCAGATAGCAGAGGGGAAAAAACAAGGAAGAACATATGCCTTCAAGAAAGACAGTGGAATGCATAGCAGTATGTCCCCTGTCTTCCAGGGCCTTTCCAGATTCATGGCACAAACATGTCCCAGCAACATCTTTTTTCTGCCGTGTCCCCATGATGTTGCCCCATGAGTGAGACAATCCTTAGCAGTATTGATGTTTAAGTAGTGTTACCTCCCTTATTTCAATATCATCCAATGGCAGCTTCACACAGAGACATCTGGAGGGGGCGGGGAGGAGAGAGTGGGCAAATGACAAAACATCATCATGATGTCACATTGCAAATCACATTACTTGCATCAGATATCAGAACACAAATATGAAAGGCTGGGAGTTTGTGAAGTCCTGTGGCTTTGAGGTGTATCAAATATGTTAGGATCTGTCACCCAGAAGGTTGGAATGACATGAGATGGCTACAGTGACTTGAAACAGGATCAGGACAGAGATTGGTAATGGGGACAGCAAATTTCATGCAGTGTAGCTTCCTGCTAACCCAAGGATAGGTGGATAGGTGAATACTAGTTCAACTCAGCAATGGAGAAAGGGCTCTAAAAGGTTGGTCCTATTTATGCTTCCAGTCAGCCTAGAACAGAAGCCTTGCAGGTATATAATCCAGAAGCTGGAAATAATTTCCCGGCTATCTAGGAACATTAAAATTATTTTATCATTCATGAATGCGAATGAATAGAGCTAATTTCACAATCATTAATTAATTATATACATATAGTTACATGCAGCTCTGTACTTTATACACATAGGTATTTGCAAATCCTATGAAATGTGCAACATCCTTAAATTTACCTGCAGGCAGCAGCTTCCCACAGTGTGCATTGTGGTATTTTACAATTGTGGAGATTATTAGTAGTGGGGAATGAGGTGCCCAACTGCATGGGATTTATACAATTATCCATGGAAATTTCCCTGCTTTGGCATTATAACCCCCAGACCTGATACTGCTATTTCTCCAATCTGCCATTTGAGCTAGCAGGAATCAGGGAAGAAGTAATGAAGGACATGTACTTTAGGAATACTAATTCTGGATTAACATAAGTGAAATCCTTGAGTGGCCTGTTCCACTCAAAATTGGGATGGCCAGGGAGGGGGGATGAGATTGATAGCATGAACAGGGATAGTAGAAGTGTGTGCATCCCCTTGTAGGTTTTTCAGAAAAAGCAGAATATAAATCAATATTAAAATAAATGTGTTCCTGGCTTAATTTGAGCCAAAACTCAACTTTGTGTTTTGTTTTTTCTAGTCTTTTTTACTTTTGAGTTGTTTAAAGTTATGTTTTCATGAAGGCTTTACAAAAGTAACTTTAATCACACTTGTCCCGTGTGAAGTTCTATAGTTCCTTGTTCCTGGACTACTGATAGCGTCCAATCTATCATTCTAAGCATTTTAATTTATTGACCATGAGGAAGATATTTAAAGGCAGTTAGTCATAGATTTTCTGCTCTCTCCAAATTAGTGGGAAAATTACAGCAAGCTGCAGTCCACATCCTATGGCAGGTAAGAACTTATTCTAATTTCTCTTCACTGGAGAAACATTAAGTCTTTTTTTTCCTGGCAGGGACCCTGCATGCTTAGGAACAGTGTAACCCCTATAACAACTATGCCTGTGGTGCAGCTGAAATAAAAGGACTCCTACTGGCTTACACACTACCCTGTTCAGTCCCCCAAGCAACTCAGCAGCATGCTTAGAAACTTTTTTCTCCAGATTGCCTGTGTTCAATAATCCATTTGTTTTGGGGAGCTCAGTGCAATTTTAAATATGTTACTCAAAAGTAATGCCCCTTGGTTTTAAGTGATTTGTCCAATCCATCACACTGTGGGCTATGTGGAAACAATATCTTGCAGTTTATTTCAATTTTGTAAGCCTCCCAAGTGCCTCAATTGTCCTTTTTCCTCCTTGGGGCACCATCATTATTCAACATCCAGTTCTGCTTAAAAATGCAAGAAAACAAGGAAACTTCAATCTGTCTCTACAAGTGTGATGTCTTCTGGCTTTTGGAACTCAAATAGAGCAATGCTGCTCCATTTAAAAGTATGAGGTTACCTAAGGTGGAACTTGGATTGGTTCTCCTTCTCCCCTTCCCGGAATTGCCATTTTGGGAAGTTGTGGTCTCGTTTTTTCAGTGTCTTCACTCCTGGCTCCTCTGTTGGTGGCAAATTTTCCCTTCCTCTCCCCTCCCTTGGCTCATTCTTCTAGCCATTTCTTTTATCATAAGTCACAAATACAGTACTAGCTTAAGAAGTGTTGAGAAGCAAAGCAAGACTGATACTTCTAAGGGCTTTTGTACTTTTAATGGAGCAATTCTTCTCAGCAGGTTCAATTTTGTTTGAGTGCTTCCCAGTGACCATAGGTTTAAGATAGCAATTTGAGCCTCTCTTAATTCTTTCAGCATGAGTTTATGTTTGGGTTGTAACACAACTTCTGTGATGGCGACAATACAGTATTTCTTTGCTATGCACCAGCTTCCTTTATGTTCAGCTCTATGCCATCATCAAACTGGCAAGGAAAAAGAAGGCATGGCTTTTTTTCTTCACCCTGAGCATTCTCTCTTTTTGTGTCTTAGTCTGTGTCTGCATGGGAGGTAGACAGAGCAGCCATGACTGTCTCATATACCTTGAAAGTGGCCAATGCTCGCTTTGGGGGCTTCTCTAAGCTGCTGTTCCGCTGGAAAGGGAGCATCTACAAGCTGCTGTACAAGGAGTTCGTGGGCTTCATTGTGCTGTATGCAGGACTGAGTGTCATTTACCGGTAGGTTGGCAATTACAATGGTTAGTCGGATATTAAAACTTAGAAGTTTGCAGAACAGATTATTGCACCTCTGTAAGCATCCTTCTGCAAATGAGCCCTATCATAAATAGAAGTCTGTAATTCCCCTTACCTTCCTGAGAAATGCAGCATGTAATGTCTTCTCACAGGTTTTGTGAAATAACTTTTTGGCCATTAAGGTTGTGAAGCACGGTTTGAAAAGAAGTGGATAATGTTCATGAGAACTGAAAACAGAGTGGGGAACACAGAATAAATTTCCAGTGGTCTGGGAATGGTTTATGTTGGGATCTTAAAGCACAGAAATATGCCCCACTTTTCCTCCAAGCCTCCCATGCACCCATAAAATTGTTTTATTTGTTTGTTTAGGGTAGTGTTTCGCAACCTCAGCAACTTTAAAATATCTGGACTTCAACTCCCAGAATTCCCCAGCCAGTAGGGCTGGCTGGTTTGAGAATTCTGGGAGTTGAGGTCCACATAACTTAAAGTTGCCGAGGTTGAGGAACACTGGTTTAGAGTGTAACCTGCTTTAATCATATGGCCCTAAGCAGTGTACAGCAATATCAATTTTAGTCATATGCTTTAGTCATACGTCATGCTTTAGTCATGTGACCCTAAATGGTGTACAACAATACATGCATACATACACATACACACATATTAATGTAATATGTGTATACTAATAAAACCACATCCTCAAAAAACAATATAATATGAGTATGAAGTTATACCATAATAACAGTCCAGTATCCTATTCATCATCTCATTCCAATGAATGACAAGACTCCAATTTTGTTTTGTTTCCTCACACAGCCATTCAAAGGATGATGCTCATGAAAACCAAGTGAAAGAGAATTCATTTTCTAGTCCTTTTGGAAAACTCTACATTCTGCATCCAGATTACTGGATAAGGCTTATTCCTAAAATCTCCACCTCAGGCTCTTTGCCCTCATGGCAGAACTACAGTATGAATTCCCATGATTGGTGGGGGATAGTGAATGGGGGCCTTTACAGGAAGGCAAAGACTTCACTCATCTTGAGATCACTTACCACAATCAAGAGTTACATTTGGCTATGGCATCTGTCTAGGAGAAGATATATTTGAAAGGGCAAAATGGAGCATCTAAAACAGAGAAGCATCCAGTTGAGGAAAGATTTTGCACCACTCTCTTGCCTTAATGCTGCACGGAAAGCACGTGTGGCAGAGACCCTTGTAGACAGAGAGGTGGGGAGCTGACAAGTATCTGAAAACAAGCACTGGACTCTCCAAAGATGTAGAAAACCTGCTGTAGTTTATTGTCCCTGGCCCCTAAGCATTCAGGGTCAGGGGTTGTCATCAAAAGCAGACTCTTTGGAGTCTCAGCAGTCCAAACCAAGAACGCAAAGTAATTTCTCAAAATAAAATATAAAACCAAGGAAGTAAATGGGTGTGGAGTCCTTAGTGCTCTCTGAGCTTGGTTGTTTGCTTGCAGACATTTCATTACCCAACTCCGTAACATCATCAGTGCGAGTGAGTGTGGGATTTGCTCCCTGTTTATATACAATGTTGGTGGGGGTATGGTTTTCTCCTTGATAGTTCCTTGATTAGGGTATTGTTTTCTGCTTGATTGTTTGTCTGATGTTAATCCCTGCTTACCTGGTATTGGTTGCTGAAGGGGATGTGTTCTGGTCTAAATGGGTGTGGCAGCAGCAGTTCCAGGCTTATTCTCCTCCTCCTGCACCAACAATCTCAATGTGCCATATGGTAATAGCAGAACTGCTTTCCCTCGGAGATGTCTATATTGTACCTTTACTTTACTAGCAGCTGAAGGGACTTCACCCTGAACTAGGTAAATGCAAACTTAAAGTAAATGTTATTAAGTAAAAGCCTAGTTTAGTCCATAGCATACCGTTCCCTTAATATTTCACTATAGTTTATCTACAATGAGCTATGAGCCTCTAGTTCAGACTCTACTCACATCAAGAGATAGATGCTTAATTATTGCTTTGGGAAAGTGAAAACTAATTTCATTTGTTAGCCACTACTAGGCAAAGCATGAAAAGTCTTCAAGATACATCCTGAATATCTTGTCTTTATGGATCTTGAATATGTGCCATGCCAAGATTTGCAACCTGCGGTAGCACAGCTATAAGAATATCAACACTCAGCTTGAACATTGTTCAACCCAACAAATGATCCATCTAACACAGTCTACAGAGACCGACATATCTCATATATCTGACAGTAGAATATATGTACAGTAATGTGGTTTGTGGAATAGTGTGAACCAGGCTCTCATATGATGCTAAGCCATAAACTATAGTTTACAGACTACAGTGGAATGAGGTCTATGGTAAAATCATCACCCAAGTAGATTAAGAGAGATTTTGGTGGGGACAAACAAAAGAACCTCATCTCTGGTTAGTTTAAAGGAAAATCCTTAGTATGATACAGCCCAAGCCTGATGCGTTTTTCCTCTCTCCCCAGGTACCTTCTCAATGAAGATCAGAAACTCCTCTTTGAAAAGGTGGCTAAATACTGCAATCACTCCACTGACCTCATCCCTCTATCTTTCGTCCTAGGTAGGATTTATTTACATACCCTTGATTGCACACCTTGCCATGGCTTCTTGTTTGTTTGCTTTTGTTGATCAACTGAAATGGCAGAGATAAAAGTAACTGGGTTGTTTAGGGTCCTATATTCTTGTAGGTCAAAGGGAGAGTGCATGCTTTGCTTTTTAAAGGGGCCACAACCAATTCTGTCTTCTTCAGCTGAATGGGTCCATTAACAACAGATGGGCCCAGAACATAGAAGCATTGGGGCCAGACCTAAGAGATAATTCTGAACTAAGCAGAGAAATAGTCCAACGTCCTATAATGCACTTTACACGTTCCTACCTGTATATGTTCCTACCTGAAAATGTGGGTTTAAAAGTCCAGATGAAAATTACAAGATTATTACACAAAGAACTTTTGAATCTGTGATTTCTAGTTCAAAGATAGATAAATTGAAGGTTGAGGTACCCTATAGCTACCAAGAGTATAATCCAAGAAAATCTGTTTCCTTGTAACAGAAATCTAATTTCATTCATATCTGAACTCATCCATCAACTCTCATGTAAATATTTTATCTGTAAAATATTTTATTTGTTAATTTTTGTAATAATAATAATAATAATAATAATAATAATAATAATAATAATAATAATAATAATAATTTATTGAATTTATATGCTGCCTGACTCCCAGCGACTCTGGGCAGTTTATCTTAGGGATAACTATCAGCCTAAAAACTGAGAATTTATCTTGAATTTAGTTCTGTGTAATCATCACAAGAGAGCCAGTGTGGTGTAGTGGTTAAGGCATCAGGCTAGAAACCAGGTAGTTGGATGACCTTGGGCCAATCATTCTTTCTCAGCCCT